TTTTGGAGCCAACGATCTCAAAATCTTTGAGACAACTGCTTTCGTCGTCAGCGTTTCTCCACATACTTTGATTTGATTCACCAACCTTGTAACTCTGGTGAAGAAATCTGTAATGCTTTCGTTGTCTTCCATCTGAAGCAACTCATAGGTTCTCTTGTGAGTTTGTAACCTCACCTCTTTCACCTTCTCTACGCCTCCAAACGACTTTTCAAGAATCTCTCATGCTTCTTTTACTGAATCAACATCACTAACCTTTTCAAAGTTATCAGGATCAACACACTGATGAATTATAAAGAGTGCTTTATAATCCTTCTTCTTCAATTCTTTGTGCGCAGCCTTTTCCGCCTCCGTTGCGTTCTCCACCAGCGATGTTACTCCATCCTTCACAAGATCCCAAAGATCTTGATAACAGAAGATCACATTAACCTGCTTGCACCAATTCTCATAATTGTCTTTCTTGAGAATTGACAGGGTCGCCGAAAAGTTGTCGTTTGGATAGTTCATCGCCATCACTATCTTCCTTCCTTGAATCTCTTAACCGGAGCTCTAGATACCAGATGTTGGAAATTCACCTTACACCCTATGAAGAATTCTCTTCAATCTTGATCTCAAGATTGATGAACAAACCCACAATATGATAATGATGGTAATAACAAGTAATTATTAAGAACAACAAAAGAGAAGAAGAATAACAAACAAGAAAGAGAAGAATGAGAGAAGAAGTATTTGGAGAGAATGTGTTACCCACAACTGTGGGATTTCTTATTGAACTTTCACTTGCTAACTGCAACTGTGAAGTCTGTTCTATTGTGATGTAGAATACAAAGTAAGGCACCCTATTTATAGTTTTAGGTTTACATTAGCCCAAAACATAAAAGGCCCAAGATATTCTAAATCAAATCTAATCATATCAAATCACAATGAATTATATTTAACACTGGATATATATGGTTGTGTGTATGTGATGTAAGTGTTTTTTTACATTCTAAATTTACTTAGATTGTCTAATGTTTGAATTGGCATTGCAGGTTAGAAAAGTTTCTATTAGGACTTTTTTCTTTTATTTTCAAATTTTTTGACGTTTAATAGTTTATATTTATGTTAATGGATATAGTGTAATATTAATTAGAATTTAGTTTTTTTTTAGTAATGTAATTACCATGTTTGGTTGTTAAATATTGATATTATATTCTGTTTTAGATTTTTTTTTTAAATATATTTTTAAGTATATTCTCATTTTCTAGTTAATTTAGTTATTTGGAAATATATTAAAAATGTCAAAAATATATTAATCATTAATTGGTTTAAATATTTTTATTTAATATTGATTAATTAAATTATTAACTATTCTTATTAAATATTTGTATTTAAATTGATTAATAATTCACTATTGTTCGATTCTACTTTGTGACCGGTTTGCTTCCATGCTTTGGGTTCGTTTTCCTCGATTAATTCTTGATGTTTTTCCTTGGCTAATCTGTTACACGATGCTTTGTCGTGAATGTTTGTGGATTTTATTTGTTGTCGCTTCTACATGATGATTTTCCATGTATTTGCTCCTGATCACGTGATGTTTTGCCACGTATCTTTATTGTTTTATATACATGATGTTCTTGCCATGTATTTTGTGTACCTTTGTTGATTTTTGATTGTCTTAGTTCATGATGTTTTACCATGCGTCTGAGGATTATATATGTTGATTCACATGATGCTTTGCCATGTACCTTTGTTGATTTTGTGTCTATTACCATACATGATGATTTTTCATGCATTTGTTACTTCTACATGATGTTATTGCCATGTACTTTGTGTTTATTAATTTCATTTGCCTTGATTCACATGATGCTTTGTCCTGTGTGCTTTGTTGATTACATGATGGTTTTGCATGTATCTGCTACTTTCTTACATGATGTTCTTTCCATGTACTTTGTATTTATTGATTTCATTTACCTTGATTCACATGATGATTTGACATGTGTATTTTGTTATTTCCTTTTATGCTTGTCGATTACGTGATGTTTTACCATGTGTTTATGTCTTCATTGGATGTCTGTTGATTACATGATGTTTTACCATGTATCTGTGTCTTTATTTGATGCCACATACATGATGATTTTCCATGTATCTTTTGATTCACATGATGCTTTGCCATGTGTATTTTGTTGATTTTATCTATTGCTTTCATATGATACTTTGTCATGTGTGCTTTGGTGATTCTCTTTGTTGCTTATTTTACATTATTATTTTCCATGTATCTGTTGTTTTCTCTTGCACTTGTTGACCTAATCCAAAGAAAGGGATTGTATGTTGACTCATTATCATTGTGCATGTTCTTTGTATGTTTGTTTCTTTTTCTTGCATGTCTTTGTCTTTCTTTACCCATCTTTTTACCCTTTAGCAAACAATTTTAGCAAAAACATAAAATTTTCAAGAGATTCATGTAGGATACTGCAGATACTTAGGGTGCTAGTATCTTCCCTTAGTATAACCAACCCCCGTATATTTGATCTCTCTTTTGCTTAACTTTAGGCCTTGTTTTTTGCTTTGCATTTTTACTTAGAATTTTTGTTCGATCTTTTCTCCCTTCCCATGGAAAAATAAAAGTTCGGTGGTGATATTTTATCTTTGCGAGTCAAGCTAATTCGATAGCTTCGGTCTCTGATTCTCACCGCGACAGTCGCGCTATGGTGGATATACATGGCAAGTTTTTGGCTTGCCTCAATGGTAAATAGCAGTTGATATTACGGGTTTTTCGACCATAATTCGATATAATGGCCTCAAAACTGTAGTATGGCAGATTTTGGCTCTCCACCATACTGACAACACTACTTATATGCAACTAAGTTACGTCAAAATTTTTTGGTAGGGAAAATTACAAGCTCAACATATATTTGGCTACTTAGACTTAGAGAATCCATAATAATCAAAAGTTTATTGTGTTCCATAAACTTAATCTCTCTAATTTTAAGGGAAAGAACCAACCAGTAAAGTTGAATACAATGAATACCATTAATTGTAGCTCTCTTTATATGCATTCAACGCTTCTTTCCAAGTGTGAGTAGAATCTAAAACACTACCAATATTAATGTTTACTAGTGCTTGCCTCTATAATCATACCAATAAAGCATATACATTAACTGACCAACATCCTCATTAAGGACAAAGAGGCAAAAAATAACTCTTAATGACTTGACCTTAATTAATCTATGGATCCAAAGAAACCTATGAATAATAAACTAGACAAGCATATACAAAATTTGAAGGGCCGCGTCAGAATTTAAAATGCCCGGTCGTGTCAGATACGATATGGGTGTTTGATAGATATCTGGCTGTAGCAAGGAAGACATTCTTAATGTATAATGAGTATGAATAGACTCATGGTCCAGTATTTATTGGTTCACATCGCTTGGTGAACCTGAAGGATACTAGTTCTCAACGCTGTCATCATTGTCGGTTCCGTTGGAACTGGCCCCGCCTTCGTTCTCCCTATGGCACCGTCTCGAATCTCTCCGGGTACGGCTATTTCAAATCTCTCTCTCTCTCTCTCTCTTTAGCGTCAATAAAAGTCTCGTTCTGGGCCGTTGAGATTGAAATGGTTTTGTGGTTTGCGTAGGAGAACGAAAATGATTTAGGGTTTGATTGCACGGAAACCATGTACATTAGAATGAAATGGATTTTGGATTCTTGAAGGGATTAAGGTGGAACGATTCTCATGGTGAAAAGAGAGAAAGAGAGTTTTTTATTAGGACTGTTGGTCACTTTTTTTAAGGTAAAAGGTAAAGTGAAATGTAAAAGAGGGAAAAAAAAGTAAAAGAATTGTTTTGTTTATTATATGAGGTGGTTGTAGATTCACGACAGTTAGTCAAAACTTTCGTCTAAATTGTCGCAATTCGTAAGCTGCGATAACTGACACTCAATTGTCGCAACCCAAGTGTTGCAAATCAACAACTTTCTTGTAGTGATTGCTATCTAGAATTTTCAGAATTTGTTAATCGTCTAATTGGACAACGTTTAAATAACTAAATGGATGAGGATAAAGACCTCTCATTAGACTTAATTGAATTGTTAAGCCTATCACGATCTATTTAATTACAAAGTTGTATTAAATAATTCATCAATATTTAATATTTATTTATACTTAAACATAATATAATTAATTATGTCAATCCATATTTAATTAAATAATAATTAATCTAAATATGTTCCGACAACTTTATCCAACAAAATTAATTCATCAAGTAATGTGTGCTCAATTAAAAAAAGTGTTAAATAGTTTTTTGATTTCTTAATTTTAAAATAAACCATTTGAACCTTTTAATTTTAAAAAACGCAGCACATAAATCTTTTCCATTTACTCTATTAGTCAAAATAAACAAAATAATTTATGTGACATTGGTGTGAACTCCAAAATGACACATATACTTTTATTTTATCAAGGTGAATGTTATTTTGTATACCACATAATTAATAACATTTATATAAAATAAGAAAAAACAGAAACTTCAGAAAACTTCACTTTCTTATTTTTCTTCGTTGTTTACTCTTGTTCTTCTTCTTCCAAACACCGTGTTTTCAACCTTCTATTCAAAAAAATCATTTTAAATTAACCATGAAAATACCATATTACACCACCTCTTCCAGGTAATTTCTTCTTAACCCTTTTTTCCACTCACCACCAACAACAACAAATTCAAAACCAGCAACACTATTGAATCTAGTGCAAACACCAAAACAATTTCTAAGCAACAAAGTTATCGACATAGTCAAAATGTGTATAAACCCAAAAAAGCATTCTATAACGTAGGTTACCGACATTGTGCTTCATAAGAAACTCAAAAATTGAAGTTTTTGAGAGAAACGAATCATAATATTACTAGTTTGAAGAGTAAGAAATAGAGAGAGAGTTAGTGTTGAAAATTTGTAGTATACCAGCGAACAGTCCTCTGGTATGGACTCTTAATTGTTTCTGATGTCAATCAATGTTAGCCTTAAATTCAAACATGTCCTTATTCATTGTTCGCAAACATCTCGATTTTCACCCGGTAATGGAACCAAGGTTACAAGGAGAGAACTTGGACAACAACAAGATATTTTATTCTCAGATGGAAAAGTTGGGAGAGAAGCATGGATGTGCATGTTCACAACTTGCTCTTGCGTGGATTCTTCGTCAAGGAGACGATGTAGTGCCAATCCCTGGTAAGTTATTTTCCATTCTGTGACCTTGACAAGTTAGGTGCTTATGAAACTTACTTGCGCGTTACGAAACCTTTTGCTGTTGTGAGTATAACAACTTTGGAACTTCTCATGTGCTTTACTTGTAGGAACAACTAAGATAAAAAATCTGGAAAGTAATATGGGTTCGTTTAAAGTGAAGCTTTACTTGTAGGAACAACTAAGATAAAAAATCTGGAAAGTAATATGGGTTCGTTTAAAGTGAAGCTTTACTTGTAGGAACAACTAAGATAAAAAATCTGGAAAGTAATATGGGTTCGTTTAAAGTGAAGCTTTACTTGTAGGAACAACTAAGATAAAAAATCTGGAAAGTAATATGGGTTCGTTTAAAGTGAAGCTTTACTTGTAGGAACAACTAAGATAAAAAATCTGGAAAGTAATATGGGTTCGTTTAAAGTGAAGCTCAACAAAGATGATTTGAAGGAGATTGAAGATGATGTGCCAATATCAGAGGTGGCGGGGAGTCGTGCTTTTATTCAATGTTCATGGAAGTTTGCTAATACTCCACCAAAAGCATACCAAAGGCATGACTTGATGCCGGTTATGCACCTCAATGTGTTGAGATTCTAGTTTTTGGTCTCTTTGCACCACTCATGCAATGGTATAGCAATTTGTATATTTGAATCTCAATGGAAGTTCCAAATGTGTATTTCTGTGGCCCATACAACTCAAGCAATTGATAACATTCTTTTAATACATATTTAACTTGTTTAGATGTATAAGATATGTTGAAGTAAAGAGAAAAAAAACAATTTTTTTTTTAAATATTTGTCTGAATTGTCCGACACGTGTTATATGAGTGTCATATGCGTGTCGGACACCGACTTAAAATGTGTTGAAGCAAAGAAAAAATCATTTTGTTTTGGAACACTTGTTTGATTTTTTCGACATCTATCTGACTTTTTCAACACGTGTCGTATGAATGTCATACAAATGTCGGACACCGACGCATGTTCGATACCGCGAGAGGCCTACTCTATGAAGCACGGACACACTGAACACGACCCTGACACTGACACGCGACACCATGAATAATTTGAAAAAATGAATAAATTAAACGTAACCACAAGTGTCGGTGCAGGTGTCCGGCCCAGACACGGACACGGACACGCCTTTTTTCCAAAGTGTCGGTGCTACATAGGGCCTACTCCTAAAGGTGCTTCATAGTTCTAACCCGCTCTAAAGTGTTAATATGTAAGATTTAGATCAAAGATGCAGAGAAAATAAGCTAAAACATGTATGTAATTTAAGCACGAAACACATTTTTTTTGAATTTATCCTTATTCGACCAACAACAAACGGTTTTATTTATATGAGATTAAATTTGTGAGTCAGGCAAAGAGAGCAAACACTACAATCTCAAACACTGAGGTTCAAAACTTTCTCAAACTATGCTTTTGTTGGAGTATTAGCAAACTTCCATGAGCATTTAGCAAAAGCATCGGTAGTACGACTCCCCGCCACCTCTGATATTGGCACAGCATCTTCAATCTCCTTCAAATCATCTTTGTTGAGCTTCACTTTAAATGAACCGATATTACTTTCCAGATTTTTTATCTTAGTTGTTCCTACAAGTACAACACATGAGAAGTTCCAAAATTGTTATACTCGCAACAACAAATGGTTTCGTAACACGCGAGTAAGCTTTATAAGCAGCTAATTGTCAAGGTTACAAAATGGTAAATAACTTACCAGGGATTGGGACTACATCGTCTCCTTGATGAAGAAGCCATGCAAGCGCAAGTTGAGAAGATGTACATCCGTGCTTCTCTGCCAACTTTTCCATCCGAGAAAAAAGTATCTTGTTCTTGTCCAAGTTCTCTCCTTGTAACCTTGGTTGCATTGCCTGGTGAAAATCGAAGTGTTGATAAACCATGAATAAGGGTCTGTTTGGATTTACTCATTTGAACGTATTTATGAGTATAAGAATTTGTGAGAGCTTATGAAAATAAATTCATAAACTCTTTCAAGTAACTTATGAAAACAACTTATAGGTTGTACGAAAACGATCTGCCTTAAATTCATGAACTATTTATCCAAATAGAGCTCGAGGCTAATATTAACTGTCATCAGAAACAACTAGGATCAAGTCCATACCAGAAAACTGGTTGCAGGTATACTTTCTGTGATAGCCTTGCCTCCGAAAAATCCACGGCCAAGGGGACTATATGGTACTAATCCAATACCAAGTTCCCTAAAAGATTGACACCAAACAACCCAAAATCATTTAAAGAAGAATAATGCAAGATATCAATATGGTATCCGAGCCCTATCGATTGAAGATACCTGCAAAGGGGAACAATATCCGGCTCAATTTCACGAGTCCAAAGGGACCATTCCATTTGAACAGCAGTAATAGGATGAACAGCATGTGCCCTTCTGATTGTATCAGTACTAGCCTCGGATAATCCTATATACTTAATCTTTCCCTCTTCAACCAGCTTTTTCAACTCTCCCATCTATGATTGATTCAAATCAACAAATCAAAAACACTAAAACCAAACAAAATGGAAGAATTGAGAAAAGCATTGCATTAGTTACTCACAGTATCCTCAATGGGAACAGTGGTGTCAATCCGGTGCTGATAATACAGATCTATGTATTCCACCCCAAGACGTCGAAGACTACCCTCACAACAAGATCGAACATACTCAGGACTACCGTTTACAACAACTTTACCAGATTCCATTTTGACAATCCCAAATTTTGTAGCAATCTGAATTTGATCTCTTGGTAAATCCTTTAGTGCCTGAGAGAGTTATTAAAATGTTTATACTACATGGTTTATTTACATTAAAACAAAAAAATTCAGTAGTTACCTTTCCGACCAAAACTTCATTAACATGTGCTGCATAAACATCTGATGTATCGAAGAAAGTGATTCCTTTGTTGAAACAATGTTTGATCAAAGATATAGCAACATCTTCTGAAACAGCATCGTTGTATACTCCAGTGAGGCCCATGCATCCATATCCCAGCTTAGAAACCTGCAACAACAAAAACAAGAAAACATTATTAAAGATATTCGCAGGAACAAGAAAGTGTGTGATTGATTTCAAATTCAACGGTGTTTACTTCTAGGCCTTGGCTTCCAAGCTTCACTCGAGGAATATGAATAGTAGCAGTATCTCCCATTTTCTGTGTTTCTGTATTACACAACAAATTGTGCACAGTATAGGTTTCTTCAAGAATGTGTTGGTTGGTAGCGGAAAGTGGTGGGTGAACGTTACCTAACTCTTGGATGGAGATGGGTCATGATGCCACCAATTCCACTACTAGTATTTTCTATTACATTTTCTAAATTGACTTTCCACCTCTTATCTTACCTACTTGTGTTGTGTTTTATTGACGCGCATTTTTTTATATTTAAAATTTGAAAAAAAAAATAATAAAATTAATAAAAATTAATAAATATAAAAATATATATAATTTATATTGGAAAAAAAAAATAGAACCAATATTCGGAAGAATAAGTTGATATTTTTATAAAAATATTTATACAATAATTTAATTTTATAAATATCAAATAATAATATAGTATTTGTAAATATTATTTTAATTATATAAAAAATGAGTAATATAAATAAATATATTTTGCTCGAGTATGAGAATATATATTATTTTAAATATATTTATCTTTATTTTCTTTAATTATGCCATAATTGTAATAACTCATGCGTTCGCTCAGATTTTGGTGAATTATGCGCAATTGTTTTTAAAATATAATAAAAATGAATTTTGTTTTGTAATTATTTATAAAAATAATTTGATGAATAAAAAACTTGTTTTTATTTATAAAGTATTTGGATCACTAAGACGCTTTTTCTCCTATATATAAATAAAGTTTAAATTTATTTATATAAAAATATTTGTCACATATGCTTTACTATATTATAAATGACTTTATTTTCTCGTTTTAATAATTCAATTATTTTTCGTAGATATATATTTTGTCTTACAATCTTCTTATTTATGTAAGTATTATTAAAAATATCACTTTCGTAAAAAAATCATAAAGGTCATAATTAAGTAACAAAATTTTAAATAATTAATGATTTTTGAAAATAAATTTAAAATTTTAAGTATTAATATTTGATTTGTTTATGTTAAGTTTATCAATATTTTCTATTAATAATTTAATACATATAATAAAAGGTATTTAATAATAGTTATGCAATGGATATGAACAATACATTTTAAAAACATATTTATTAATGTTGATATTTTTATAAAATAAGACAACTATTTTAATCTTTACTTTATAGTACATAAATTATTAAATTATTTAATACGGTGTTAAATTATAATATACAATATATTTAATGAGAATAGTTATGGTTGAATTCTTATATATAAATGTTTCTTTTTTAAAAATATTTATAAAATATTTAAATCAATAGTAAATTATTATGTTATTATTTAATATTTAAATCAATAATAAAATTGTTACGTTATTATTTAATATTTAAATCAATAGTAAAGTTGCTACGTTATTATTTAATATTTAAATCAATAGCTTAATATCATAATCATATGCATATACCATATTAGTATGCGTTCGTTCGGGTACTTGTGTGATACGCGTGTTTTTGTTTTTAAAATGTAAAAAAAAAATGTAATTAAGCAAAACAAATTTTTTGAAATTTTTTTTAAACTAGCTATGTATTAAAAACAAATTACCATTTAAATATCAATTTTAAAAAATTTACGAATCCAACTATGTTCCAGCAAGCAGTAGTCATCTCAATTGGCGAAACAGACAAAAAGTGAAATGAGATTTGTATAAATTCGCCAATTCATCTGGCGAATTAGGCAAATGAGTTGAATTTCACCCTTCCAATTGGCGAATCAGGCAAATGAGTTGAATTTCACCCTTCCAATTGGCGAATCAGGCCAAATAATTAGAGCTTTTCCATTTTTTAAATTTTGCTTAATGTTTTAAGAAGTTTTAATAAATATTATTTATGTTTATTCTAAATATTAATAAAGATTGTGTTTATTCTTAAATTTATTTAGACCTAATTTTTAAATAATAACATTAATAATAATTATGTTTTATTTAGACCTAATTATTTTAAGTTTATTAATAATAATTATGTTTAAAAACAAAATAATTTTCAAAAGTTCCATAAAATTAATGATATTAAATACATTAAAACATTAATTGAAATTAAAAAAAATAATTAAAATAAAATTAAGAAAAAAAATAATTAAAATTAAATACAGTAAGAAAATAAGTGGAAACCCTAAGGCAAGACTAATTCGCCAAATGAAATGACGAGTTTGTTACTCATTTGCCTAATTCGCCAGATGAATTGGCGAATTTATACCAATCTCATTTCACTTTTTGTCTGTTTTGCCAATTGAGATGGCGACTGCTTAACATAGTGGATTCGTAAATTTTTTGAAATTAATATTTAAATGGTAATTTGTTTTTAATACATAGCTAGTTTAAAAAAAAAATCAATTTTTTTTTATCAAAGTTTTTTATTTTTAAAAGAAAGTCATATTTTCAAAATAAATAAAAAATATTATTTTACATCAATAATATATATTTTAATTTTTCATGTTTAAAAATTTTTCATCTTAAATTAAAAATAATTTTAAATATATGCAATCATTTAATTTTATAAATATCAACTAATAACATAATATTTAAAAATATTTTTATTTGTATAATTAAATTTTCCCCTATTCTGAGTAATACATTATTTAAATTATTTAATCAAAAAAATATTATTTTTAAATTTATTATTTTTAAATTTTATTAATGGTAATTTACAAATATACTATACAAATTACTTAATATATTTTATTTTCTTACATAATTAATTAACAAAAATAAATTTTATTTTTTAGACATTAAAACAATTATTTATTAATGATAATTTATTAATATATCCTTATGTTTAATATTTTGTAAATTATAATATGCAATGTATTTAATGAGAGTAATTATTTTTGAATTCATATATGTAAATATTTTTATTTTGAAATTATTTATAAGAATATTTAAATTAATAGTAAATTTGTTTCGGTTATTATTTTGTATTTAAATCAATAGTTTAATATAAGTACAATATGCATGTACCATATTAATACCTGTGTATTTGGCGGGGCATTCGTGTGGTACGCGCGTTTGTTTTTAAAATGTAATAAAAATGTAAATAACATAAAATATAATAAAATTGTTTTATCAAAATAGTTGATATTTAAAAAAAGAAAGAAAGATATATTTTCAAAATAAAAACAGAATTGTTTTACATTAATAATATATATTTCAATTTTTTATATATTATGTACAAAAATATTGTATCTTAAATAAAAAATAATTTTAAATATATCCAATCATTTAATTTTATAAATATTAACTAATAACATAGTATTTAAAAATATTATTTTAATTGTGTAAATAAATATTAGTAACAAAATGAATATATTTTACCCATGTTCAGATTAATACATTATTTAAATTATTTAATCAAAAAAATTATTATCTTTAAATTTTATTAATGGTAATTTACTAATATATTTTATTTATTACATAATTAAGTAATTGCATTAAATTTATTTTTTTAGAGACATTAAAACAATTATTTATTAATGATAATTTACTAATATATCCTTATGTTTATTATTATGATAACTTATAATATGCAATGTATTTAATGAGAATAATTTTTTTTGAATTAAAAAATTTTATTAATCCAAAGCCAATACACGACAAGGCGATCAAAGATCCAGCCCACACCAAGGAAACAAAACTAAACTTACTTGTTGTTAATGATTCTATCTGTACAATTCCTATTGTCATCTCTTTGATTGAAACAAGAGTCGGTTTCTGTCACGCTAATCTAACAAGTTCAGATTTCCAACCTTTACCTCCATAGCAATTCAAAATCCAATTTTTCTCCTCATTCCAACTTCCAGGAGTGTGTTGGATACCAATCCAATGAAGCGTTTCAACCCAGACCTTCCTCAAAATAGAACACTCAAAAAATAGGTGGTCAATGGTTTCCACCTCAGAACAAAAGACACATTGATTATTATTCACCATTCCAAACCGATACAGTCTGACTTTTGTGGCTAAATTCCCATGACAGATCATCCATAGTGTATAGATTGCACGAGGTCTTGCTCTATTATGGAGAATTAACTTGGCCCAAACAACATTTGGTGTGGCAGGCAACAAGTTCACATACACTTTCCTACCATTGAATCTCCCTGATTGCACCATCTCATTCCAAACAATCTGCATGTTCCCTATGTTATCCCTCTGCAGAAGAATAGTTTTAAAAATAGTCGAGTCTGATCCCTTGACCACTCTATGCATCATATCCTCATTTTTCAAGTAATAGGCGTGTATCCACCGAACCCATAAATCATCAATTTTCGTGCAAATATTCCAGAGTAATTTCATCATAAACATGTTATTCCAAACCTCTAAATCTAACACATTCATACCCCCTTTAACAGTAGGTTTGCACACTTTTTCCCAGGCAATTGGACTCTTCCTACTGATAGTGCTACCACCTGTCCAGAGAAACATGTACAAATGGCATTGATTTTGCTAATCACAGCTTTAGGGAACCAAATACATTGCATCCAGTAAGAAGTAATAGCATACAACACACTTTTAATCAACTGTAGTCTTCCAGCATAACTAAGAAGCCTAGAACTCCAATGAGTTATCCTACTCACTAATTTATCCACCAACGGCATATAATGAACAACAGACAACTTCTTACTAGTCACTGGGACTCCAAGATATCTAAAGGGGAAGGTCCCCTCCTTATAAGAAGTCAACTGTAGAATTTCTACAAGTTCTTTACAGAATCTGAAACACTACCAAAATACACCTTACTTTTTGAAGGATTAATTGTCATACATGTTGAGTCCAAAAAGTTTTTGATAGTGCGCTGCAGAATCTCCATGGAGCCTTGAGAACAACAGAAGATCATCAGCAAATGTTAGGTGAGTGAGCTGCAACCTTTCACATCTGGTATGATGATTGAAATCCGGGTTTTTTGCATTCTGAACGGCAGCCTACTATGGTACTCCATAGTTATCACAAACAGAAGGGGGGACAATGGATCCCCTTGTCTGATACCCCTTCTAGCCTCTATCTTATCAGTGTAAGTACCATTAATGTTGAATCTATAAGAGACTGTGGTAACAGTAGTCATGATCCAATCAACAAACCTCTTTGGCAGACCTATCTCATTGAGAATATTGCCAAGAGCACCCCAATCAACCATGTCATATGTCTTTTGTAGATCAAGTTGAACCATGCATCTTGGAGTACCATTTCTCCTATTATACCCTTTTAAAAGTTCCATTGCCAATAAGATATGAGAATGAATTTTCTGTCCCGACACAAAAGTTGTCTGGACTTTACTGATAATAGATCTCAAAACTCTACCGGATTATAATTAATGAGGATAATTATTTTTGAATTTATATATATATATATATATATATATATATATATATATATATATATATATATATATATATATATATATATATATTATTATGATAAATTATATGTATTTAAGTATTTCCTTAAGAAGCCTATTATCATTCACCCATCCTCCATCGGTGTCAGAGTAACGCTTTGACATTAACACAGTTAGTGGAACTTTTCCTTTTATCCAATTACACTTCCTCTTTTCTATATGCTTCTCGCTTTGAATGTTTACGAGTCTAGCAATAATTTTCAATTAGGGTTTTGATGTTTACAAATCTTGTAAATTTTCAAATTCACTCGATATGAATTCAGTTGCGAGACGGTTATCAAGCTTATTCAAACAGTCAGGTTTCACAACTGAGCCTTTTGCTGCTCAGCTTCAGCAAAGCAGAGGCATTCGAGTGCAAGTGTATACTGGAAACCTGGAACGGGCATTGGCGTTGATGCAACGTAAGATGACGTCGAGTGGGATCGAGAGGATGATAAAGATTGAACAGAAGTTTCATATCAAAAACTCTGAAAAGCGTGTGTTGGCGCAAAAGAATTTGCAGCGTAGGCTTCGATCGCAGGATCTTGCCCGGAGACTCAAGGCCATTATGATAAAGAAAGTCAGGTAGTTGTTTCCTCTCAGTTATTTGGCAGATGATATCTTGGTGCTGCATTGGAATTTCTGAGAAATAAAATAGGGTTAGCAGCAACAATAATCAAGCTTTATTTCCTAGACCCGGCCATGGCTATTTAGAGATGCTATCTATAACTATGGGTATTATGATAAATTATAATATGCAATGTATTTAATGAGAATAATTATTTTTGAATTCATATATATAAGAATTTGTAACCTTGGTTGCATTGCCTGGTGAAAATCGAGGTGTTGATAAACCATGAATACGGGTCTGTTTGGATTTACTCATTTGAACTTATTTACTAGTATAAGAAGTTGTGAAAGCTTATGAAAATTAATTCATAAACTCTTCAAAGTAACTTATTAAAACAACTTATAGAGGTTGTATGAAAACAATATGCCTTAAACTGATGAACTATTTATCCAAATAGAGCTCAAGGCTAACATTAACTGTCATCAGAAACAGTAAGATCAAGTCCATACCAGAAAATTGGTTGCAGGTATACTTTCTGTGATAGCCTTGCCTCCGAAAAATCCACGGCCAAGGGGACTATATGGTACTAATCCAATACCAAGTTCCCTAAAAGAGTTGGCACCAAACAACCCAAAACCATTTGAAGAAGAATCATGCAGGATATCAATATAGTATCAAAGCCTATCGATTGAAGATACCTGTAAAGGGGAACAATATCTGGCTCAATCTCAATCTCACGAATCCAAAGGGACCATTCCATTTGAACAGCAGTAATATCTGGCTTAATCTTTCCCTTTAACCAGCTTTTTCAACTCTTAGTTACTCACAGTATCCTCAATGGGAACAGTGGTATCAACATGGTGCTGATAATACAGATCTATGTCTTCTACCCTAAGACGTCAAAGACTACCCTCAACAAGATCGAACATACTCAGGACTACCGTTTTCAAACGTTACAAGATTCCATTTTAACAATCCCGAATTTTGTAGCAATCTGAATTTGATCTCTTGGTAAATCCTTTAGTGCCTGAGAGAGTTATTAAAATGTTTATATTACATCTTTTATTTATATTAAAACAAAAAAAGACAGGTACAAAGTTGAAGTGGTAGTTACCTTTCCGACCAGACCAAAACTTCATTAACATCTGATGTATTAAAGAAAGTGATTCCTTTGTTGAAACAATGTTTGATCAAAGATATAGCAACATCCTCTGAAACAGCATCGTTGTATACTCCAGTGAGGCCCGTGCATCCATATCCCAGCTTAGAAACCTGCAACAACAAAAACAAAACATTATTATTGATTTGAAGGAACAAGAAAGTGTCATGATTTCGAATTTGATGGTGTTTACTTCAAGGCCTTAGCTTCCAAGCTTCACTCGAGGAATATGAATGGTAGCAGTATCTCCCATTTTCTGTGTTTCTCTATTCCACAACAAGCTTTCCGCAGTATATACGATAGTGGGAGTCATTAATGGAAATTTACTAATTTAAATAGCTCTCATTAATCTATTATTTGTATTTATCTTTATTATAAATGATGATGAACAAATAAGGGTGAATAAGTTGAGCAAATTCAGATTCAAAATATAGTGAAGTTAAATCCAAATTATAATATTTTACAGATCTTGCAAACACTCCAACATTTAAATCAGTGATGATTATAATTATAACGTTTCATTCACATTGCGGCAAAAAAACATTTTGTTCACATTCATCTAACATTAATCAAAACAGCAGAACAAACGTAAACAACACCCGGTCATGATTTGTTCATCAGCCAGGTCATAACGGAGTTGTGCACAAATAGAGAAATGGTTGCTGCTCCTTTACTCATGAATGATGCATTCTCCAACTTAATAGGATTTATACTTGAGGTAGAGACCCTTCAAACTTTTGGAGGTGTGTTAGCAAACTTCCATGATAATTTATCCGATCCATTGTAGTATCTACTACCTGCTACATCATCCACAGGAACCGCTGCAGAAATTTCTCTCAGCTCCTCTTCTGATAGTTTCACTGTTAAGGCACCAAGGTTTTGATCCAAATTCTTAATCTTAGTTGTTCCTGAGAATGAAAGTAGTCCCCATTATTTTCAATAATCAAAAGCAGTTGCATGAGTTTTATAGTGCACTATATATCAGCACTTAATAATTTAGAAGAACATTCAGTCAGTAACTTTTGTACATTTGTACATCAGAGGATGTTCTTAATATGATATTGTGTATAGTTCTTCGCTTATTTGATCGGCATAAACAGATACTATAAGGATAATATCGCAGAGTACATAGTATCAAAGTTTTTTTCCATATACTAGTTTCGGAAAAATATGGATATTCTGTTGCTCACCAGGAATAGGCACAACATCCTGGCCTTGATGGAGTACCCATGCTAATGCTAACTGAGCAGGAGTGCATCCATGTTTCTTGCCAATACTTTCAATCCTATCATAAATGTTTTTGTTCTTCTCCAAGTTCTCTGCTTGGAAGCGAGGATAAGTTGCCTGATAAACGAAATAAAAATATGATCCATGTAAGAATGATATCCCATGTTTAAGATTTGGCACATCTTACTAATAATTACATGTCAATAGACAGAAAGACACGCTAAAATGCAATACCAGGTTGCTAACTGCAGGCACATTTTCCAGAACACCTTTGCCACCAAAAAACCCACGACCAAGAGGACTATAGGGTACGATTCCAATACCAAGTTCTCTATATCAACAAAAGCTTTCAATAAGTAAAATCTCATATAACACAAACACAATCAACAGAAACTCAAACTAACCTGCATAGAGGAACAATCTCATCCTCAATGTCGCGAGTCCATAGAGACCACTCTATTTGTACCGCTGTGACTGGATGAACGGCGTGTGCTCTCCTTATTGTATCTGGGCTGGCTTCAGATAGGCCAATGTACCTCACTTTTCCCTCTTCCACCAGTTTCTTAAGTTCACCTACCTATAACACAACAAACATGTTAACAAAAACTGAATCGAGTAAAATAAGTAAAATAATGTCAGCATAGGAAGAAATCATTAACCGTATCCTCTATAGGCATGGATGTATCGACTCGGTGTTGATAATAGAGATCAATGTATTCAACACCGAGACGTTTCAAGCTAGCTTCGCAACACGAGCGGACATACTCTGGCGAACCCTTGACGCTAACATCGGTGAAACCAGGAGCATCTCCTTTAAATATACCAAATTTTGTAGCCAGCTGGATGTTTTCTCTAGGTAATTGCTTCAAAGCCTTTCCAAGCAAAATTTCATTGGAGCTATCGACTCCATAAAGATCAGCAGTGTCAAAAAAAGTGATACCTTGAGTGAATGCATAGTGAATAACGGAAATAGCATCTTGTTCAGAAAGAAGATCATTGTAGGCTCCAGTGAGTCCCATACAACCGAATCCCAATTTTGAAACCTAAATGAGTACAATAATTAATAGAATAGTATAGAAAGAAGAATGGAATGGTAGAAATGGTTGTTGATGCAAGGAAAACATACCTTAAAACCTTGAGTTCCAAGTTGAGTTGTTGTCGTCATTTTGGTTGATGAATTGTGCATGTATCAGCGATGTTATATATAGATGAATGCGATGTGATTCGATCGTCAGTGACGGTGTCACCGGTGGTTTAGTTTCATCACTGAGTATGTCATTGACATGTTTCTTACACCACAAGTCACACTACACCTTATACCACCTTTTTTGAATATAAAATCCTAAATGTCCATCCTTTTTAAAATAAATACTAAAATACCATGTTTTCTAAAAAAATTATTTTTGTTATAAAGGAATGTCTTCTATCCATTTAATGGGCAGGTAATTCGAAATTTTTTAAAACTTTTTTATATATTAATCTATAATATATAGAAGAAAAAAAACTTAGATTTTGTGTATGTCTATTTTTAATTTTTTATTCTAATTATATTCTTTTATTTTTTATTTTAAATTTTAATTTCTCTTTTACTAATTTCTGTTTTATTATCTGTTATATGATAGTTCGTACAACAATTTTATTCAATTTTTTATATATTTAACTTAAAATTAAAAGAATAAATACATAAAAAATACATTTATATTTTTAAATGCTTAAACATTAAAAAAAAGTTGACAGACGGACACTGAACGCTAGTAATATATTAATATTAATATATTTTTAATTAATAATAATATAAATAATATATATATAAATTTAAAAAAGTGTTAATGGTTTATTACTTATTGAAAATATATTAATTTTTATATTAATATATATTAATTATTAATATTTATTATATTAATTATAATTAAAAATATATTTATTAGAAATATATTAATTAATATATATTAATTATATAAAAATTATTTTTAAAAATTTGATTATACACCGCCCATTGAAGATACTTTTTACACACTGCCGCCCATTGAATAAATGGGCGGCACTTTTATAATAAAAATAAATTCTTTTTAAAAACATGGTAATTTAGTATTTACTTTGAAATGCATAAATATTTAGTATTTTGTCCCAAAAAGAGGGCATTCCACCTTATACAAATACACTTTCAATTTTTTTAGTATTAAATTAAACCCCTCACGAGGTACATTTTTGGATAAAATATGGTTTTTGGATGCATATTTCTTTTGCAAATTGTCGTAATAATAAAAAGTTGAAAAAATATATTAAACATAAAAATAATAATAAATTTAAATTTAAATAATAATATATGCAAAAAAATAAAATGTAAATAACAAATAATATAATTAGATAAAAATTATTAAAATTTATATTAGATAAATAAGACGTTTTAATTTTTTTTACAAATAAGACAATTATTTTATAAGAGATAAAACAATTTTGAAATATATAATCTTTTTAAAACTTTCTTAATTTTTTCACATATTTAAAACAAATAATCGATAAATTTTTATTTTTTTCGTATATAAAAATATTTAAATCAACAATATTTTTTTCTAATTTGAATATTATTTTTGTTTTGACATTATTTAAGAAAATATATGAATCAATATTACAATTATTCACGTATATAAAAATATGTGAGTCATCAATGTCTTTTTCTGGTATATAAATATTATTTTTGTTTTAATAATATTTTTAAAAATATCTAAATCAATAGTAAATTTCTTCTCATATATAAAAGTATTTGATTTAACAATATATTTTTTCAATATATCATTATTATATTTGATTTGACAATATTTATAAAAAAAATTGAATCAATTGTCCTCGTCTATAAAATATTTGAATCAATGATGTATTTGTATTTATATAAATATTATATTTATTTTGAAAATATTTATAAAAATATTTAAATCAATAATAAATTTGTTCCCGTATATAAAAATATTATAATCAACAATGTATTTTTTTTCGTACATAAATACTATATATATTTTTTAAATATTTTTGAAAATATTTGAATCAATAGTAAAGTTTATTTCGTATATAAAAATATATGAACCAACAATGTATTTTTTCATATATAAATACTATATTTGTTTTGACAATATTTATAAAAATATTTGAATTAATAGTAAAGTTGTTCAATTTTATATTAATAATTTGATCGATAATTATAATAATCATCATAAATAAACAAATTAATTTATTTAAAAACCTATAAATGAGATGATAAATTAAATTAAAACTACTATGAATAAAAACAATGCAAAATAATTTCTTTAATTTTTCATAAACTTAAATTTTAATATTATTAATTGTGTTTTAATATGTTATATTATTTATAATTATAAGTAATATATTTAAATTTTAAAATTAAAAAATGAAATATATCACATATATGATAAACTTATAATTTTGTTGTTGTTAATAATCAAATATAGTTTTATTAATTTTTTTAAATCAAAAATCATTTAGTAATTTAATAATTTTTTAAAATCAAAGATCATTTAGTAATTTAATAATTTTTTTCAAATCACATATCATTTATTAATTATTTTAAATTAATTTAATTATAATTTTAAAATTAATTAGTAAAAACAAATATTTCTATCACTCAGAATTTAATCCACTTTTTTTATTGGTTTCTTTTCCGTTTTAACTCTTTTTATTTTATGTTTGTTCTATTATTATTTGTATTGAAGTTCATTTAATTTATAAAATATTTATTATTATAAAAATCACATGATTAGTAAAAATATTAAATATATATAATTATCTAATAATTTTGTTTTGGTGATCATAAAATAATTATAAATTGCTCATATTAGAGACTATTTTAATATCATTTAATTAATACATTGGTTGTGTTTTTTTTGTCTAATATCTTTTTACTTATATATTTAAGAATCATATGAACATATATTTTATTTTATATTATTTATTCTATATTTCACTGTTTGTGATACTATATTTTATAATCTTATTATTTTATTATATTATAATATATTCTATTTTTTAATATTTTAAATTTTTTACTCTTTCAATTTTCTATCATGTTATATTATTTATATTGAATTTCGTTTAACTAATAATATATTTATTATTATACAACTCACATAATTAATTAACAAAATATAAAATAAAGAATCATATGGAAATTTTACTTCTGTGATCATGAAGTAATTATGATTTGTTCATTCTATCATATTCATATCAAATTGTAAAACAATTTGGTTTATACCTTACTTTTGTATTGTAGATAGGGAGGGAAGTTTGATGTTTTGAGAGAGGAAAGATATTTTGCTTTGATATTTTTTCTGTGTTGAAGTGAGGTGGTAAGAGAAGAGGAAAGAGAGTGGAGAAAAGATAAAGAAGAGAAAAAGAAAATATGAGAGTGAGAGGTAAAGAAATATGGAGAGAGAAAGAGAGGAAAGGAAGGAGAAAAAGAAAAGAAAGAAAGAAAGGAAAAGGAAAGAAGAGAGAGAAAAGAAAGAAATTAATGCCAGGTGGCACTCCACCATTAGCCAATTTTTTAAAAAAATTAATTTTAAAAATAAAAACAAGTGACCCATGTTGATTGGTTGACAAAAAATAACTAAACTTTTTTTAATTTATTAATTAAATTAGAAATACATAAACATGAATAAAAATCAAATTGAAAACATAGATAATTCTAAATAATTCTCTCGATTATTTTGGTGAAAGAAAAAAAATAGTAGGATAAAAAATGAATAAAAATTGGGAGTAAGAATGTCAAAAAAATAAATTGAACGCATTAAAATGATCAGCGCAAAATAAATTTCTCATAAACATACAAGTTTTGATCAAACTTTGAAATAAAAATCGACCTGTTAAAAGACTCAGGCTTACAAAAATGCGACCGAAAAAGTAGTCGAAAAATTAAACGAACACACTAGGTTAAAATATACAAACCGTAGATTAAGAAAACTGACGTCTTCAAGCTCGATTTTGAAATTTTTTTCCCGCTAATTCGACGTACAGTTGAGAAATGATTTGATCGATCTATTAGTAGATTCGAAAAGTTATTTTGGTTGATATTTTAAGCGTTACACGAAACAAAATGCATGTTGTGATGAGTATAAAATACATATGTCTTGTGAATGCGTTGAATTATTGATTGAATAATCATAAACAGATAATCAGATGCAAATGAATCAGTTTTGGACCATTTGCTTATGATTATCAATTACAATTAAAACTCTACACATATTCAGATGATGACAATACTCTTTGATTGTCACCCTCTGGACCCCTGAAACTTGATGCAATGGAATGGGCGATGCAATGAGATCAGAAAATCAAGCCTTTGAACTTCTTAATCAACAAATGACTGAATGAACGTCATCAAGATCAGATAAAAATGTCAGAACTCCTGACTTTTCGTCTAAACCTCTAATGAATGCTTTTGACTAAAAGAAATGCATGATAAGATGAAATGAGTTTGCAATCAATTCTGATATGTATTATAATTGGATATGATCAAATGAGGTGTGAATGAAAAATGTGATGATGCAAAATAAGTGTGATCACTTTTTGTCTTTTATACCAAAAATATTGACTTTTTTTTTTACTTTTGAAATAAATGGTGGATGATCAATTGAGAAATAAAATGAATTAAAATAATGATGTAAAGAGAATTTGACTTGGATTTTACTCCCATGGATTTACTATTTTTTAATTTTTTATGCATATGATGCAAATAATAAAAATGATATTTTAGTTAAATTGAACGTTATTTTTGTTGACATTTTGACTTTGAATAATGCAAAATGCATGTGATGAATGACGTGAATTTATTTGGAATGACGCAACCATAGAATTATGCAAATGATCAAAGATTGACGTTTGATTTACTTTGATAGAATTAACTTGCAATGAATGAACTTTGAATGATGCATGGCATATGATGTATGCAATGTACTTAGAATAATTTGTTTTTGTTTGAAAATTTCAATCGATGTAATACTTGACTTAAAGTAGATCACAAACATGAGACAAAATTAGGGTATGACAGGTGTCAATATTTAATTACTTTTACTCGGAGAGTATGAATGACGATAGTCATCATATAATCGTGGTGAAAGATGATTAAATATAAAGAACCTGAATTTTATCCTTTGAATTTAAAAAGCAATGAAATGAAATGCAATGTAATGACATAAGGTTGGGCTACAGGCCTTTATTGGTGAACGAAAATGCAAGGTGGACTTAATGGAAATTATATTCTTTGGGATGCTTTTAAAAGAGACAGTGAGTTTCAGATTTTTCTGAGACTAACCAAGTGGTGAAAGGAAAGTTTAATGACAAAATGGTAAATTTTGGAAATCTTCAGAATATGCCAATAAGCATTTGAAAATCCTTGGACCAAAGGAGTAGTTACGATTGTCCTCGTAACAAAATGGCAAGTTCTGGAAATCCTCAGAACAATACCAACAGGTATCTGGAAATCCTCAGACTCAAAGTGATGACAACATCTGGTAATCCTTATATGAAAAGTGAGTTATAATAATCCTCGTAACCATGAGATACGTTCTGGAAATCCTCAGAGCAAAGAGATGACATATGGTAATCCTCAGATCAAAAAGCAAGTTACAGTAATCCTCGTAACAAAATGGTGAGTTCTGAAAATCCTTAAAACAAAAAATGACATATGGTAACCTTAAGATAAAAAAGTGAGTTACGGTAATCCTCGTAACCACGAGATACATTTTGGAAACCATCTGAACAAAGCGATGACACATGGTAATCCTTAGATGGAACAATGAGCTACGGTCAAGGCCGACCCTGTGCAAGAGCAACAAGCTCTACCGCACAGAGACTCAAATATTAGAGGCCCCAAATTTTGAAAGTTGCAATTTTTTTCATTAATAATAAACATAAAAAATAATATAATAAAAATTCAATAAAATAAAAAAAATACTATGTTAAAAATTCAATACATACAAAAATTGAGATGGTTCAAAGTCAAAATAATTATAATTAAATTCATTTTTAATTAATATATAATTATATTTTTATATGTCATTTTTAATTATTTTAATTACATTTTTTTTATAAAAAATTTGGCCTATTTTCTAAATTAGAACGGGGCCTCCCGATTTATTGGGCCGACCTTGACTACAGTAATCCTCATAATCATTCGATACATTCTGGCAATCCTCAGAAGAACAAAGTGTTGACATCTAGTAATCCTGAGATGAAAAAAGGAGTTACGATAATCCTCATAACCATGAAATGCATTCTGGCAATCCTCAGAACAAAATGATGAATACATCTGAAAATCCTCAGATGTGAAAATGATTTACGGTAATCTTCGTAATGATGAAATGCATTATGACAATCCTTAGAACAAAGTGACAACATCTGATAATCATTAGATGAAGATAATGAGTTACAGTAATCCTCGTAACTATGAGATATGTTCTAGAAATCCTCATAACAAACTGATGACCCCATATGAAAATCCTTAGATGAGAAAATGAATTACAATAATCCTCGTAATGATTAAATGCATTATGAAAATCCTCAAAACAAAGTGACAACATCTGATAATCCTCACAGGGATATAATGAGTTACCGTAAACAAAATGATGACATGTGATAATCCTCCTATGAAATTTGTCCTAATATATAAGGCTTGCACTATGGGAGAGAAGTCTTAGATTTAACTCCGAACATTTTTTATATTTTGACTTTTTAAAGTTAAAAAAAAAAAAGAAAAAAGAAAAAACACGTGAAATTAAAAATAATTGAAAAAAAATAATTCCACATCAATATATTAACATTAAAAAATTAAAAAAAAAATTCTTCAGCGCACTCACATATATGTTTTTGTTGATTCATTTTTTCAAAGTCTAAAACAATAGAATTTTCAAGTAATAAAATTGATTTCAAAAATTCTTTTTTGAGTTTAAAGGTAGTGTACTATTAGTGCAAGACACTTTTACACATGTAATTAATCAAAATATCTATAATTGTCATATAATATCAGTATTTTTAAAATAAAAATATATTTTATTCTGATACATAGTTGTGATTGGTTGATAGTGTAAAATATTTTACACTGTTAATATATTTTTTTCTTTTCTTTTTTTAATAAAAAAATAAAAAATCATTTATGTGAAGAATTTAATTAATATATACAGACTATATAAAATAATTTTATACTATCAATCAACTACTCTCATCATATATCCTACCACGTTAAACTTTAAATTTTAAGCTAATGATACCGTATAATAAACTAATAAATCAAACTCTTATATGAATAAGGCTTATTAAAATTAATATATTGTAAAGTAAAGACTCGGATATGTCATATTTTAATATTTATTTAAAAATAAAATAAAATTTTGATGATTAAATTATTAAAATAAAATAAAATGAAATTTATTTACCAGATACCTTTCTTCTTCCCCTTTCAAATTTCAATACACTCCTAAGAAGAAAATTGAAACTGAAGCGTGAACAAGGGGAAAATGGTGGCTCGCACATTTCAAGTTCTTCACAACGACTCCAACTTTGATCTCGAATACGACACCGACGATGGCTTCGAAGTTCGCCTCTTTCTTCAAAACCTTCTTCTATTCTCTCACCGCACTCTCAATTTCACTCCTTCATTCACTGTTTCAGGTTTTTCAATTCCAGCTTTACTCTCTCACTTCCGTTCCACCCGATCATCAAAAGGTCTTCATTATACCAACACAATCTCTTCCTAATTTTATTTTTATTCTCAAGTTTTAAATAATTTGATACTTTTTTTTTTTATTGATTGCACAGATTTATGGAGCTGAACCTAATTCCCAAATTTCCACTGATTCTGATCTAGCAAGCATTTCTGATAAATTACGACTTGTCTCCATCGATGATGATTCTCAACAACCTGAATCAAGCTCTAATCAGTTCTTGAAATCCGATGAGGAATTAGCTAGGCTTTTGCAGGTATTCTATGATTATTGATTTTCGCTTCGGTTTTTAATATTTATGATATTTTCTTCACTTTTTTGGTTGTTTGTGTAAATCTGTTCAGGCTGAAGAGGAAGCACTCATGTTGCAGCAGTATGTTGCTGGTGAAGATACTCAGCAATTTGAGAGTAGAGTACGACCTTATGTTACTCAAGTCCTCATGGTAATTTTCACCTTATTATTATGTTACATCATTCGAGTATATCGGCATTTTATCTCTTCAATTTGTGAATGTCGAACAATGTAGTCCTCGAATTTGCGGAAAAAAAAACTTAGTCTTTTAAATTGAACAATGTATGTCAATTTAGTCATTTTTTCCAACTTTAATACTACAATTTTAAAGGTTCTATTATTCTATGCATGTTTTGATGATGCTAGAGACTATTCAAGTTAGTGTGCAAGTCTTTCATTGATTTTGATAGATATTCACTAGTGAGACATTTTGATGGAGGGACTAGATTGATTGACATACATTGTTCAATTTAAGAAACTAATTTGCTAATTTGTAAATTTGAGGGATTAAATTGTTCGACCTTGATAATTCGAGGATCGAAATACAAATTTACTCAATAGTTGTAGTTTTTGTTTTATTTTTTTATTTTTTGAATGAGGAACTCCTGACATTTAGTTCATGAAACTGCATATAGAATTTTCCAAAGAGAAATGATACTCTGATATCAAAATTTTGATGTCAAATATGGTATTCTTTGATTTTTTACACGTGTTTTTGAAATGTGTGTAAGTTGTAGATGATAAAATGTAAGAGAGATACAGAGATAAACATAAATGGTGTTTGTATTTGGATGTTCAAATAACACAACTCTAAATGGTTTCACGTGAGACTGAGTAGAAGAAACATGCTTCCCTGTTGTCCTTAAGAAAATTAGTTACATCATGATTGATTTCATGTGTTGATTGTTGTGATATCTTGCAGTATGAAGATGAAAATCGCCAGGAGGCTGCTCGGAAGTCTGTTCCTGTGGAAGAGCTTGACGAGAAAGCATTGGTTTCTTTGGCCAAAGTAAGATCCTGTAAATTTATCTTTCAAAAGAAAATTATGCATAAAGGATGTCCCTATCATGTTATGTGTTAACTCTAAACCAACAACTCTTTTAACTGTATCTCTTACTATTCTAGAAATTTATTCACTCCAAATTTGTTCTCTTTTTTGTTTTAACAAGCACTTATGTATGTGTATCTCTCTTTCTGCACGTGGTCCCATAAGCACAACCTCTGGCACTATACGGCAATTGTTTTATAATTGGTGTAATCCTGATAATTATTCTTCAGGAGGGGAATTTCAATCCTTCAAAAATAGAACGAGATCATGCTTTCCTGCTGCAACTGCTTTTCTGGTTCAAGCTATCCTTCAGGTTTAAGTTGGTTATATATTGTTTATTCATGCCAAATGAATGAAATACATCAATGGCTAATCAGTCCATAAGGACAGAATATTTGTTTTTGATTTAACTCAATCATGATTCACATAGATTTGTGGCTTAGCTGAGTTACATTTTGTTTCTCTCTCCCCCCATAAAAAACACCACCTCACTTGCACTTGTGCTCTTTTTTTATTGCTTCTAATCATTTAAATTTCTGTCTTGTCCTCATTGAATAGATGGGTGAATTCACCAGCTTGTCACGGTTGTGGCAACGAAACTGTAGGCCAGGGTATGACTGCTCCAATTCCTTCTGAAACTCGTTATGGAGCTTCCAGGGTTGAAATATACCGGTATGACCATTGAATATTTGTTTTAGTTTAATGTGAGATTAATGTATTTCCTTGTACTGAGATCAGGAATGTGGGTTTTGTATTTTTATCTTATTAAGATATATATCTTTTTTTGAACGATATCATGCATTTGAATTTTGAACTATCATTGAACCTTTGTTAGGCTATGCTTAGTCAACTGGTCTGCCTAATTTTTTTAAAATTTATTTTTAGTTGATTTTTATTTTTGAAAGTATCATGTTTTTCAAGATCCTGAAGCTTTTTTCTGTTTGAATATATTTAGGTCAGGCCGTGCCAGATAATATTGTTTTGTTATGAACTAAATTATTCCCCCTTTACATATACTGAATTAATCCTGTTTCCTGTTTTAATGGCCTTTCTCTTATAAAACATTTTCATAGGTTTCTGCAATTTGCCCGTCTACCTTAATTTTAGATTTATTCACATTTATATTTCCACATCACAGCTGCACCATTTGCTCCAAAATGACTCGCTTCCCCCGGTATAATGATCCAAAAAAGGTATTCAACTTGCGTTAAACTGCTAGCTGATGTTATTTTATACACTTAGCCAACTTTCAAATCGACTGCAATGCCTATCACATTTGATTTGGACACTTCCTTTATTCTCTTTCAATTTGAATTTGCAGCTTGTGGAAACAAGAGAAGGCCGCTGTGGAGAATGGGCCAATTGCTTTACGCTTTATTGTCGAGCTTTTGGCTACGAGTCACGTCTGGTTTGTAACAAGAATACTAGATGAAATTTAGTCTTTTCAGTGCTAATCTTTCTGAGTTTTTATGCTATAGTAGAGCAGATAATATGCTGATGTTCTGTATCATTCATAGCTAGGATGTATGGTATAGAATTGTAGACAGGATTTTAATCTTTGCGGTACTTATTTTGTGGCATATAGCTCGTGATGATTCTAATTTCTAACATTACAAATGCAATACCAAATGTCATATGCCAAACATTACATGACAATAATGTATTGTGTTCTGATAAGTCCTCTTAGTCTTACATAGATGTAATACATGTTAAGTTCAGATATACATAGAAAAATAGTTCCAGCTGGATATTCTTATTGAACTGTAATCAGTAAGAAAAAAGTAGTCACGCATGTAAAACTGAACTAAATTATTGAAATTAGCTTGCATTCTTATTGCAATCACTTTGCCCCTTATGGTGTTTTGACACTGGTGTTTGTTGATTTCTGTGGGACGGTTGTGCCAGTTTTTACTAAATATTCCTCACAGTTTTGCTAGTAAATTTCATTTATTGTGAGTTTAAAGTCTTCCGAACTCTTTGCTTATATTCCCAAATACACGTGCTTGTTTGTTTTGTGAGGAATAAGATTTTTGTCACTGAATTTTGTTTGATATATCCAGATCTTGGACTTTACAGATCATGTTTGGACAGAGTGCTTCTCTGAATTCCTGGGAAGGTACAACTAACATAGTAGTTACTTGTTCTTGTAATATGCTGTATAAACTATTTCTGGTTGGACAGTGTTTTGTTCTGAGCACATATGATCTTACAGATGGATGCATCTTGACCCATGTGAAGCCATCTATGACAAGCCATTATTATATGAGAAAGGGTATTATTCATTTTCAGTTACACCTTTTAATTGACTTAAGAAAGTAGTTGTTCTTGTCGTTTTTCAAAGTTTTCATCTTGCATTCCTCATACTTTTTAAATCTGTGGAATTAGGTGGAATAAGAAATTAAATTATGTTATTGCCATTGCGAAAGATGGAACTTATGATGTCACCAAACGGTACACAAGGAAGTGGCACGAGGTAGGTTTTACAATTTATATTCTTTCTTTCCTTATGTTTTCTTTACATACAAGCTTTCTGCACTGCATAAGGAATCAAGGTTCCTGATTTTGATAATAATTAGTTGAATTTTTGTACCTTCAAAATTTAAGGTCCTATCTCGACGAACTATGCTTACAGAGCCTTCTCAGTCATCTATACTTGCTGATATAACCAAAGAATGTCGAAGAGGCTTTTCATCACAACTAGTTTCAATAATTGAAGCTCGTAATATGGAAGAAAACCAACAACTTGAGAGAAGTTTGCATTCTGAAAATGACGAGTCCCTCTCATTACCTGGAAGAAGAAGTGGGAATGAGCAATGGCGCAAATCCAGATCTGAAATTGGTTCTGATAACCTAAGTTCATCTGATTGTCCAGTTCGTTTGTGCGTAGATGAGCATGTGACTAAGATTTATAATGCGTTCCGTCCAGTGCTCCATCAATTTATTGAGGAAGAACTAACAAAGGCTGAAGCTGTCGAAGTACTTGGGATTACGAAAGGAATTCTCTTGGATCTTCGCAGTTCCCCTTTTAAATCAAGAAGGGCCTCCATTGATTCACTTCTAAACGACCCAAAGTTTCAGAAACTTTTGCCATCTTTTCACAGTTTACTTGATGCACTTTCACTCGAAAAAAAAGTGAGTACAGATGGGAGGGTTGAAATTTGTTTGGCTGGTAACCCTGTAGTAACTTCTTTAGCATTGCCTGTTGTGCTAGACGCTCTAGATGATATGGTTCACAATCTTAAAAAGTGTGAAAACTATGGGAAAGATATGTTTCTGTTGCCCTTACTGAGGTTAAATAGATTACATTCCGGTTCAGTCGTTGCAAGTGCTGAGGAGTTGCCGTTAGGGATTGTGAGTTTATATCTGACTTGTTTTATATGTTTTAACATTAATTATGATTTATAGCATCAATAACTTTGTTCTTGGTTTATAAAATTTTAGGTAACATCAGCATTTGATGGAACTCAAATATCAAAATGGGAAGAACCAAATGGAGCAAAAGGTATATTGTTAACTGATTAAATAACGTCTTTGAGGTTACACAATTTGTTTCATGTGATATTGGAAATTAAGATAGAAGAGAAACATTGTTACTGAAATTATATTTTGGATTGAATGAATCTGTTGAATTCAGTTACAAGGAGAGAAAACTATACATAGTTAATTTTTTATCCTACACTATCAAAGACTTAACTACAAACAGTATTCTAACCGACTGTTATAAAGCTTCTACAATAACCACATAGGTCAGATTGCATTATAAGATTAAACACTTTTCTATAATATCTTAATAAAGAAGCTGCCATGTTTCACTTACAATTTAAAAACATGATTTGTACTATCCTATTAGAAAAGCACATGTAGCATTTCTTTCAACTCCATTTAGCTATACTAAATCCTAATTATATTGATAAAATTTTCTTACTGTAAGATTTTGATTGGTTGTATTTGTAACTGTTAAGAATTATGGTTGGGCCTAACTCAACCTACAAAACCAGCTTGTAGGGTGAAGATTGTCCCCACTTATAAGCACATGTTCAGGCCATATATTATCTGATGTGAGACTCTTAATAGTAACTTCCTAGTATATGATATTTCTGTCATTACTCATGCTATCTCATTGGCATTCCTTAACTCTTACGGAAGTTTGTCGGCAGATTGTAAACCACTCACATAAACTTTACAGTTTAAGATACTATTAGTCTAATGTTTTTTGGTTGATTGACTGTCCAGCTAGTTTGTCTGAATTGATAATTCAATGTTAAATTACTTAATCCTAGGAGTTATGCTCTGTTTGCATTCTGTCTTCAGCACATCAATTTTAGGTTAATGAAAAATAATTCTTAATTATGATACAAAAAATAATCGAGCAATATACTCAACTATAATCATAACTATAATCATTTTAAATAGTAGTGCCAACCAATAGTATGATTTCATTTTATTACTATTCTAAATGTGCAGGCAGACATTGCTCTCTTGATGCTCATACTAAAATAATATTGTTAAATATTTAACTATAGGTTCTTGGTTCGTGTATAGAACATTGGATAACAAGAGGTTTGAGCTTATAGCATATGAATTGATGTCAGCCAATGATGCCCCAGAAAGGGATCCAATGGATTGGTAAGGATTTCGGGATATTTGATTATAAGATGTTTCATTTTTGGTTCATTTTTTAATTATTATTATTAGTAATGAGTGAATGATCAGTAGAGATTATCTCTTTATCAATGTATTACCAAGGTTTTTGTGTATCCCCTAATTAATGTCACAAATTTTGGAAATGTGTCTTTATATCCTGTATACTCCTCATAACTATAATTGAGTTTTCATGTATAATCATCTGTTAATAAAGTATGTGTTGTACATTCAATGGCCATTTTCTCAGGATTCTTGAAGGGAGCAATGATGAGGGGGTCAGTTGGCAAGTTTTGGACAAGCAAACGTCACAGTTTTTTGAAAACCGTTTCCAACGTAAAACATACATGATCAACTCATCAAGTTTTCCATCTAATCTCTTCAGGTAATTTTATTTAAAATATTGTTTTATGATTTTATACAAACATCAGATCATAGTTTATCATCTTTAGCACATTTTAATATTTCTTAAAAAATCTGTTTACACAGCGTTAAGTGTTTATAAAACTTGTGTAAACTAATATAGTTAAATGTATATGTAAAAATAATTTACAGAGTCGGTGTTAATAAAGTAAATCATTGCTTTATGCTTTATGCAACAGAATTATTCTTGACATATTATTAATAAACATGGAAATGACTTTGCAGGTTTAGGTTTCTGGCAGTCAAAGACATTCATTCTACTTCCCGGCTACAAATTGGTAGCATTGACCTCTATGCCAAAACATCATGAAATATAGGTAAATAGTGAGTCGAATTGAACATTATCTTTTATTTTTCAAAATTTGTCAATATTTCTTTCCATTAAAGAAATGTATATTTATTGTATTAGTAGCTTAAAAAGAAGCATCACCTTGAATGCATGCATCGTATTATTACCCATATATATTTTCCAATAGAATGAAAACATCTTTATAGGACTGCATTGATTTTTCATTTGGTTAATTAGCTGGCTTGGGATAAATTTTATGAGACTGTTTGAAAGAAATTATGAAAATGAAATAAGTTGTGAAATCAGTTTATGACATTTTCATAAAGTTTTCTTCTTATTTTCATAAATTGTCAAAAATAGCTTTTTTCTTTTTTTAGCCTAGTGGCCAACACTTCTCAATTAAATATGTTGGAAAGGGAAGTGTGGTGATTAGGGTTCGAGTCCTCAGACTCAAACCACTAAGCTGTAATTTAAAATAAGTGACCAATTAAGGTAAGGAAATATGCACGTAATTTTTCCTTTTTGATTTGAAATATCTTTATTTTAGTTTTTAATATAATTAGTTCCAATCTCTCCATAAACTTAAGGTTTTAAGCTTAGGTCTTATTAATTTCTAATATTATGGTTTAAATGTTCATTTTTTACGAGTATTTTTAGAAAACATAAAATAAATTTCTTCTCCAATAAACTCTTTTCTTCTTTTAATCTTAAAATAAAATGAGACGAAAGAACGATGGGGAGCCGGAGACAAGGCGACCAAAGAAGGAGGTGTACTTGGAGGGGAGGTTAGTATGAACTTGGTGAAACAATTCATGACTAAATCATGGAGCTTTGTCCATGTACTATCATGATAAGGGTTATTTTCTACTGAAATTCAGAACACATAGAGACATGGATCTTGTCATGATGAATTGACCATATGCTATTTAGAACATGCCCATGTTACTGAGGGAATGGAAACTTGACTGCAACCTCAAGGACGATATGTTGAGAGCCCTTTTAATTTGGGTCAAACTTCCCCAATTACCTCTCCACCTTTGGGGCCTTAAAAGTTTGAGCAAAATTAGAAGTGCTCTGGGAACACCACTTCTCATAAACGAATGCTCTGCAAATAAGCTCTGAGTATCATATGCAAGAATCCTTGTGGAAGTGGACATATTACACATAAATAGAAGACTCACATTGCTATTAAAGACAACGAAGGGAGAAAGATTGTCCAAGAGGTAGAATATGAATGTAAGCCTACTTTTTGTGATAAGTGTCAAAAGGTTGGGCATAATTGTGGTAGCTCTAAGCCTAAAATGCAATGGAGACCTATACCCAAGTCACGCGAGGACAAACTCCATAAGCCGGTGGGGTCTTCTACTCCCACCTTAGCGAAATAACATAAAGGGGAAGGAGAATGGAGACCTATACCCAAGTCACGCAAGGACAAACTCTATAAGCCGGTGGGGTCTTCTACTCCCACCTTAGTGGAAAAACATAAAGGGGAAGGAGAATGGACAAATGTTCATAGCAGTGGCAGAGACAAAGACAATAGGATTATGCAAGAAGGGACACCTACTAGAGTGCATTGTGTCTATGGTTTTGAGGCACCAGGGGTTGTGAATGAGTTCCTAGTGTACTAAGACATTGGGACATGATGATTGCTCGGTATGTTAGGGGGCTGAATAACAAGAGCAAGCTTAGAGAGATTTGCTCCTGTCTCCTAGAGCTTCAACCCAACATTGCTATCTTACTGGAAACTAGGGGAAACAAGACAATGTTATTAATGTCAGAAAAATTATTGACTTCCAAGGTAATACCTTGATAATTATGCAAATCACAACAATGGTAGGATTTGGTTATCTTGGAATAGCAAACACGTCGATATTAGACTCATTAGTAGCATTAGTTAACTAGTGCATTGTGGTGTCCATGGTGCCTATTAGGTGATTTCAATAATGTGACAAAAACTCAGGATATAATAGGTGGTATACTGAACATTGAAGCTAAATACACTGATTTAACTATAATTATGAGTAACATTGGGTTGTTTGAGATGGATAGCGGTGGGGATTACTTTACCTGGTCTAATAAACATGTCGCAAGTGCCATTTACTCCAGGATTGATAGGGTGTTAGGCAGTGTTAACTGGTCTCAAAACCATCAAGATATTACCCTCACTAACCTCCCCCCTAAGGACTCATTATGTGGATACAACCCATAATCTCCTAAACCCCATGTTTTCCTCTGTGTCATTCTGCTATAGGGTTTCCTGCTTAGATTAAACCTTCTTGTCTTCAGATTCTTTGTCGTTATGATGTAAATAGTTGATAGTTGGAGTTTCTGGGTTCTCCATGCTATCAGGCGATTCCTCAAACGCAGGTGTATGGTTTAATAATGACACATGCACCTCCTTCTTTGGTCTCCCCGTCCCCGGCTCCCCATCTCAGATGACACGATAAAAACAATAGTACAACAAATCTCATCTCAGATTACACAATAAAAAACAATGATACGACAAATTTAGTTTTTAATTTCACAAGTGATTTTCATATTTGAGTTAGATTATTCAAGCATAAAGATTTATGCTCATTTGGGTTTCTTTAATTTTTTTTTACTTGGGTTTATCAGAATTTAGTTGTTTTTGAGCGTATCGTCTATGCCTCTTAAAAAATTTCAAATCAAGAAGTTTGAAAAGAACCATTTACACAACCAAAAAGAATAAGATTTTTGTTTTTTGCTTTTTTGAGTTTAAGTAGAAAACTAATTAGAAATTTATAAACGTTTACGAGAATAATAAAAAAATCAAATGCATTAAAAAGATGGAAATTTTATCCAATACCCCTGCACTTATATCCATACCCCTACATTTTTAAAAAAATTCCCATTTTATCCTTATATATTTTAATATTTTATTATTTTTTTTTTCACTTTTTAGATTTTTCAGTCTTCCGAAAAATTCATCCCACGATCTATCGGAACACTTTGAAAATGACTTATGGTAGGCTTTTTTTCTCAAACCGGAAGACTTGGACAAAGAGTTCCGGTTCACAAAAATACTGTACCGGAAGACTTCAAAAAAGACTTCCGGTTTGGTAATTTTCGTGAATGTTCACCGGAAGACTTGTAAAAAGTCTTCCGATTTGTTTTTTTGGCTACCGGAACACTTGCTACAAGTCTTCCGGTTTGTTATTTTGGCTGCCGGAACACTTGCTACAAGTCTTCCGGTTTGATTTGTCCAATTTATTTATTTTTAATTTTTTTTTGAATTTTTTTTTTGAATTTTTTTATGTAATTATTTCAGAAATTCCTTTACAAATATGCGATAAAGATCAGATATCCGTAGATACGTCTGATGTTTTTTCAACAACTCAGAGATTTGGTACACGAGAAGAGGTTTCAGACATTAAAACAGAGATATTGATACGGTTATCATCACTCGTTCAGATATTAAAACAGGCAAGAGAGGAAGAAGTAACAAATTAATATTTGGATGTGATAAAGGAGGAAAACACAGAGATATTGATAGTGGAACCCAGAGTGCGACGAAAAAATGTGGATGTCCATTTAGAATCAGATAGATTTCAGCGGCTGATGGATCTGGATGGAAGATTGATGTAAAATGTGGAGTTCATAACCATGATTTATTTGATAGATTAGAAGGTCACGCATTTGTCGGTAGGTTGACAGCGGATCAGAAGCAACATGTTGTTGATTTGACAAAGAGAAAGGTTCCGCCTAGACATATATTGCTTTCATTGCAAGAGCAAGATCCAGATAATGTCACTCGGATCACGCAAATATACAAACAGAAGAGTATGATAGAAAAAAATATAAGAGGTCCTAGAAGTGAGATACAACATTTGTTTAAGCTTATTGAGGAAACATGTTATGTTTATTGGAGTAGAAAAAGAGATGACTCTGAAGTAATTAGTGATATCTTTTTGGCTCATCCAGATTCAGTTAAGTTGTTGAATATTTTTCCTATTGTGCTAGTTATGGACAACACTTACAAGACAAACAAATATAGGCAACCGCTGTTTGAAATAGTTGGCATGACATCAACCGAGTTGACTTTTGCTGTCGCATTTGCCTATATTGAGTCTGAGCAAACTGAGACTTTTTGTTGGGTGCTAGATAAGCTTAAACAATTGTTTGTGAAGAAAGAGTTGTGTCCACAAGTGATTTTGACAGATAGAGATCTTGCTTTGATGAAAGCCATTGAAATTGTGTTTCCAAGGTCGATCAATATGCTATGTCGATTTCATATTAACAAGAATGTTGGTGCAAAACGGAAAAAATATGTGGCTAGTGACATGCAAAAGAAAATTGACGAATTATGGACGGATGTTGTATGGGCTAGTGATGAGGTTGAGTATGATCAAAGGTTGAACCAACTTGAGCAGGCGTGTGTTGATTGTAATGAATTTATTGATTATGTGAAGGACACATGGTTGACACCACATAGACAAAGATTTGTTGGGGCATGGATTAATCGAGTGCTACATTTAGGTAACACTACGACTAATCGGTATGTATTTATTTTTAGTATTTCTAAATTGTATATTTTTTTGAATTTTTTTAAAATATTTTAAATATGTATTAATTTTAGGGTTGAGTCTGCTCATTGGAAGTTAAAGCAAATGTTGGGGAACAGTATTGGTGACATGGTCAAATGTTGGGAGGCTATGAATGACAACTTAAAGTTACAATTGAGTAATATTAGAGCTTCTTTTCAAAAGAGTTTTTATGAAGTTGAGCACGCCCACGTAAGTCTATTTTACAATAATTTACGTGGTTCATTGTCTCGAGATGCATTGAGACGCATTGCTGAAGAGTTAAAACGAGTTGATTATGTTGGACCTAACAAGGAAATATGTCGTTGTACTCTTAGAACAACCTACGGATTACCTTGTGCTTGTGAGTTGACAGGATATAGAATTGATGGTTTACCGATACCAATAGATGTTGTACATGTTCATTGGAGAAAACTAAGTATGGAAGTTAAGTTGGACGAAGATGTAGATGATGGATCAGAGGTGGATATGAGTAGTGCAATAGATGAGTTATGGAAAAGGTTTAAGTCACTGGACGTTGTTGGGAAAAGGGCATTAAAAAGTAGGGTTTTTGAACTTGCCTTCCCTACAATGACTTCTATGTGTCCACCACCTGAGAAAATAAAAATTAAAGGGGGAGTCAAGAAGAAAGACAAAAACCAGTAGGATATGATGTTTATAGAGACCCTTCGTATCACGAGTATGTTGATCAAGCATCTCAATCTTCACAGATGCAATCTCAACCATCACAAACTTCGAAGAAATTGAAATTATCACAGTCTTCACAAAAGAAATCTCAACCATCACAGGCTTCGAAAAAGTTGAAATTATCACAATCTTCACAATCATCTAAGCAGTTCATCCTTCAATTTCCTAATCACATTAGGTCATATATTGATGATGTAGTTAATGTTGTATCAGATGGTAATTGTGGATTTCGAGTCATTGCTTCATTGCATGGATATGGTGAAGATGGTTGACCAATGGTTCGTCGAGACTTGGGGTTGGAAATAATACATAATGAAAGATCAAGTTTGTATGTCAATTTATTTACTGATCAGTTAGCAGTAGTGAGAGAATCTTTGATGATAGAGGAATTTGGTCCTCAGCCACCACATAAATGGTTAACTCTACCAGATATGGGTTACGTGATAGCGAATGGTTATAATGTTGTACTTGTCTGTTTAGGAATTGAATGCTGGACTTTCTTCCCTATGACATCTTCATTTTCACCGAATGTAGCAATTTACTGCATTGGTTTTGTAAACAGAAACCATTGGGTTCAGGTACTTAGTTGTTTTTAGATAATGCGATTAAACCTAATTCTTTTTCGTTATTTTTATTTAATATTGCGAGTTATTTTTTTTATTTAGGTAAACATGAAAGAAGGGTTTCCATTGCCCACCAGTGACAGTAGATTGGAAGAAGTTTCGTTCTCCAGCAGCAACATCTTGGATGATAGGATTTGCAGAACGTCTACAACATTGGCAACAACTTACGCCTATATTACCAACGCATTATGAATTATAAATTATGTTACTCATTTTTAATTTCGAAACAAGAATCGTGAATTATGTTAATCGTTTTTAATTGCAAAACATGAATCGTGAATTATGTTACTCACTTTTAATTGCAAAACATGAATCGTGAATTATGTTACTCGTTTTTAATTGCAAAACATGAATCGTGAATTATATTAACACATAAACATAAACTAAATAGGTCAAATTAGTCTAAAAGATAAATAAAATTAAAATAAAATTTAAAATAATTAATTATAACATAATAAACTAGATAAATAAAATTAATATACTAGATAAAATTAATTAAAACAGAATATAATAAATTAAAATAAATACCTGTAGGAGAGTCGGATAACCACCAAGCTGCTTACAGCTGAACATGGAAGCATCTCCGAGATATCGGTAAAGAGTAACCAACGCAGCAGCTGCCCAAGTGTATCCTGATAATCCATCCAAATCTATAAACAGTGAGAGGTATCGTGCCTCGACAAGCATAAACGTCTTGTCCGCAAAAATAGTGGAACACACTAACATCAATAAACCGATCATATAACCACTCCAACTTATAGTAGGAACCCCTGCACTCACAGACTTGTTGCTGTGCTATTCTCTGTGAGACTCCCAAATAATCAACAACCCACTCAACAGCAAGCGCTTCACTGATATCTTGAGGGTTCTAGAAGACTCCCCTGATGGGCAAGTGAAGCAGGCAAGATACGTCATCTAGAGTAATCGTCATCTCACTAAACGGCATGTGAAATGAGGATGTCTCTAGACGCCACCTCTCTGCAAAAGCGGAAACTAGGTTTGTGTCTATCTTTGTTAAACTGGTTATCTGAAGTGAAGCTAGACCAGACCTAGATATCCAGCTCTCCATCTCTCTGGGTAACTGTAGTGGAACCCTCTTAGTCAACTTTAACCCATGTCCCGCCACCTTTAACTCTTTCTTCGACCCTCTCTCCTGAAAAAAATTAAAAGTAAAAATATTATAAAATTCAATATTAAAAATTCAAATTCTATTCAATATTAAATAATTTTCGTTTACTTACCTCACCGAACCATATACGGTATGCAACATGCTGTTCGTATTTAACTAACAGAGACGTATCATATGGTCCTCCGGGATATCCAACCGGCTCGGATGCTGATGCAGATGCATCAAAATGCTCTTCTTCAGTCATCCTCGATGACTCGCCCCGTCCTAGTCCACGAGGGATCCTACCATCTCTGCCTCTTGTGCGCACCACTGGAAAAAAAATCACTATAATTAAAAAATAAAAAATAAAAAAATAAAAAAATATAATTAGAAAACAAAAATTAAAAAAAAAAATGAACCGGAAGTCTTCAAGAAAGACTTCCGGAGATGAAACGAAACATTGAGTGAACCAGATGTCTTTAGGAAAGACTTCCGGTGACTAAATTAAAATTTTTTTTGAACCGGAAGTCTTCAAGAAAGAGTTCCGGTGAACAACCTCAAAAGTTTGTGAACCGGAAGTCTTCATGAAAGAGTTCCGGTGAAGAAGCAAAAACAAAATACAAACCGAAAGACTTACTCTTAGTGTTCCAGTATGTATTGCAACTGAAATGTGTTCCGAAAGTGTTTGTGTGAGAGTTCCGGGTTGTAACAAAATTTGAGAGCTTCCGGAAGTCTTAAAATGGAAAGTGAGAAATGGAAGTGAAAAATGAAAAAATGTTAGATTATAGATATTTAACTAAGGGTATTTTGGTCCAATATTTTTGAATGTAGGGGTGTGGGTATAAGGGTAGGGGTATGGGGTAAAACTTTCTAAAAAGATAAAGAAACAAGCTTTTAGATTTTTAAAGGCCGCAAGAAAAAAGTGAATGAAAAAAAGAGAAAAAAAATTAGGTTCATGAATAATTGTTAAAATTGTATAATTAATTGTTTTTAATTTTTAATTGTTTTATATATAGTTTAAGACTTAATAAATATTTTGAATTATGTGACACAAAAGAATACATATCATCTTTATATTCTAAATATTTTAAAAATGACACTTCAATACTTTTTTTATAAAAAATGAGAAAAAAAAAGATCAAAACTATTTAAAAATAAAATAAATAAATGTGAATGGATTAAATTAAAGGGAAAAAAACTATAATTTAATTTAAAAAATAATTATTTTCTTTTCGAAAATTTTAATGGCAAAGAATTAACCAAAGATAAATATTAACAATTCTTTTTCTTTCCATATTTTTGTACTAACAAGATACCCGTGCGTCCATATCGGTAAATTTATTTGATAAGATACCAATTTTATTTAAATATACATGTAACTTTGAAGTGAGTTATTTAATTATAAATTAAATAATAATATAGAAATTCAATTTTGACATTTAAAAATAAGAATTTTTTACTTCAAATAAAGACAATTGTTAATTAAAAAATGCATTTTGTTGATAGTGATCTGTGAAAAAAAATAAAAATTTTGACATTTGAAAATAAGAATTTTGTGTCTCAAATAAAAAGATAATTTTAAATTAAAATAAAATATGTATTTTGTTGATAGTGATCCGTGAGAAAAATAAATTTTTTAACATTTGACAATAAGAATTTTATGTCTCAAATAAAGACAATTGTTAATTAAAATGAAATAGGTATTTTGTTGACAGTGACCCATGAGAAAAATAGAAAATTTTGACATTTAAAAATAACAATTTTGTATCTCAAATAAAATAGGTATTTTGTTGATAGTGACTCATGAGAAAAATAAAAAATTTGACATTTTAAAATAAGAATTTTGTGTTTCAATAAAGACAATTATTAATTAAAATAAAATAGATATTTTTGCTAATAATGTCTCCATCCTCAGCAGAGAGAGTGTGGGATGATCTCCTAGTAAATCTTATTCAATGTCCTTAGCAGATAGCGGATTCAATCTCCAACGGAGCGGAATCTCTGGCAGAATGGAACTATCCCTCAGCAGTATGCTGTGTCTCCCCAGTAGAGTCGTCCGTTCCCCAGAATGTTATATTCTGGCAGACCATCCAGGGCTGATTTCCCCGACAAAGTGGATTCGTTTTCCCCAGCCGAGCTGTTTGTTCCCCAGAAGAGTTGTATTCTGGTAGGCCATCCAGGGCGTTTTCCTCAGCGGAGTTTGATTTTGATCTCCAGCGGAGTGGATTTTGTTCTCAACAGAGCAGTTTACCCAGGAGAGTTCATTTCCAAGAAGCCATCCAGAGCTTGTTTTCCCAGCATAAGTCCAATCGTACTTAGCACGTCTCGTCTTTCCCCAACGGAGTTGGTTTCCTCTTTTCAACATTTTTTTTGCTGAGGTGGTTCCTTTGCATTTGTATCGTGCATAGCATCCTCCCAAACGCGTAGCATTTCTATTTCATATGGAGCATTACGCCATATTCAAACATGTGCGTTTGAAACATAAGTCAGGTTGTTACCTATTGTTTTTAGTTGTATGTTCGGCAGACATCAATATTTTTCTTGAGCCTGTGCGGTATCCAGACCTCGGCAAAATAACAGTGTATTTTCTTGAGCCTGTGTGGTATCCAGACCTCCAACAAGATCATTGACAGATGTATTCATCTTATCATTCTCTCCAACAGAGTTTACTTATTCAAGTTCGTATTTCCCCAATGGATTTCTTCACCCAGATGGTGAATCGACAAATGTTTTTCTCAACTTCGGGTTGAGCCGGCCTTCGGGTTCGATGCTCGCTTTTATTTAGCGAATGCCTAACGGTGAGGTCAGATGTTTTTCTCAACTTCGGGTTGAGCCGGTCTTCGGGTTCTATGCTCGCTTTTATTTAGCGAATGCCTGACGTCGAGGTCAGATGTTTTTCTTAACTTTGGGTTGAGTCGGCCTTCGGGTTCGATGCTCTCTTTTATTTAGCGAATGCCTGATGACGAGGTCAGATGTTTTTCTCAATTTCGGGTTGAGCCGGCCTTCGGGTTCGATGCTCGCTTTTAGTTAGCGAATGCCTGACGGCGAGGTAAGATGTTTTTCTCAACTTCGAGCTGAGCCGGCCTTCGGGTTCGATGCTCGCTTTTATTTAGCGAATGCCTGACGGCTCAATTTCTGGTTAAGCCGGCCTTCGAATTCGATGCTCGCTTTGATTTAGCGAATGCCTGACAACGAGGTCAGATGTTTCTCCTCAACTTCGGGTTCGATGCCTGTTTTGTTTAACAGATGTCTGACAGCGAGGTCAAAGGTTTCTTCCACCTGCGGGTCAATGTTTTCTAATCGATAACCAGTTAGCTTATTGCCGTTGCAACTATCAGATACCATTTTTTCTTCGGGATTTCTGTTCCATTAAACAAGTTTATTCAGTTACTGTTTTTTTTTTTTTTTTGCGGTTGGCAAGTTTCTGGGTTCTTTGGTATTCAACCGTCTTTTACCTCGAATGTTTGAAAGCCGTTCACTTTTCATCCCTTCAGGTCCTAGTCGTTTGAATAGGGGCGGCTGTTGTACCCCAAAATTTGACCAACCTCCCTTTTTGTTTTTGGCTTGTGTTTTATTGCATTTTAGCATCTTGCATTTGCATAGCATAATTCTTACAGGGGATCAAGTGATTGCTTGTGTGCCACCCAAGAGGAGAATCTTATTGGTTTCAAGCTCAAGCAAAGGCATTGGTAGAGGTTATTATGTGTGTGTTATCATCATGAGTTATCAGAGCTCCTAGAGAGGAGAGATGTGTCACAACTCATTGTCAAAGAATCATCAGAGGGTTTTGTCAAGGGTTCATGAGGACCTATCATTGGTGCAAGCATGAGGTAGAAGCTTTTTGAGTATCTTAGAGGTTATTGTAGAGTTGGAATGGTCATTCAGTTCATCTGCACAATGCCTAGGCAAAAAGGATAAAATTAGGGTTTTACTTATAATCAAGTTAAACTTGTTTCTCGGAACAAAACTTGTTTCCATGGTCTTCCATATGTCTTACGGTGTTTGGGGATAGGAGGTTGATCATCAATTTTAATCAGAAGAGCTTCAATTGATCAGTAAATTGAAAATCAGGAGATTTGGAGAAAAAGTCAATTGTGCAGTGAAAAAGTCAACTCCTGACTTTTTGAGGTCAAGATCATATTCCTCAAGTTTAATATGGCCAATGGATAGAATTTGATCAAGAAATATCAAGAGAATCCTGAAAAATCAAGAAATGTTGAATCTTACCATTTTGGGAAAATTTTACGGTGTGATGCTTTAGTTATTGTAGATTATATTAATGGCTCTGGTTTTTCTACTGCTTTGGACCCTATTGTTAATGATTGTAAAATCTTCTTAGGAGATTTCAATTTTGTTACTGTTATGTTTGTAAGCAGAGACTGTAACGTGGGTGCCCATTACATGGTGGGAGTGGGAAAATCCTTAGGTTCTAAACTTGAATTTGTCACATTCCTCTCTTGGATGCTCCACCTATTTGTGTTGCCAATTTGACCTTTCTTTAATATAAGCTTCGTTTGAAATTATAAAAAATGCCCTCTCCAATCATGCAACCCCGAATAAAAACCCCGAATAAGATCTTAATTATAGTCCTGTGAGAGCTGCAAAAAGTAATTGATTTTCTGGTGCTGAACAAGTCGAACGACTTCAGGAATATCCAAACATTTGGCAACCACCGGTTTCCACACATATTTCTTCATAACTAGATGATGTTGGTGTTTTTCTTCGAATTCTTCAATACAATCAACCGAAACCATATGTCGACCTATGAAAGCATACAGGTCGATCTATAAAGGTCTTAGGTCAGGCCTATTAGAGGCGACACATAGGTCGTGACTACAGGCTTCATTATAAAGGCATGGGAGTCGACCTGAGTGGATTATATGTCGACCTATGCTGAAGAAAAAGCTTTTATAGGTCGATCTAAATACGTATACGTCGACCTATGTTGTAGTTTTCACTCTAGAAACTTAATTTTTGATGCAGTTGCTTAATTTTTGATGTATGGATCCTTTCAAGTCATTTCCAAAACATGTTTGCATGCAACCTAATGCTAAAATGAATAATGCACACCTAGAATTGGTTGATATCGTTCAATGTACAAAATTTTTAAAATTTCTCCTAATTTTGACATAATTCCAAACACAACTAAATGAAAAAATTCACTACTCACAAAGAAGTTCTTATCAAAGCAGTTGCTCAATTAATCTCCACTTATATTATGAGCTGCTATAGAATTCCTGACCAATGTTGCAGAGAAATTAAATC